ACTTGCTGACCCGGCGACCATCCCGGAAGCAGCGGGTCATAGGTATCTTTCCGTTCTGTGACGGTGTGAAGAGTACATGGCAGGGATGCCAACTTCCCATGCCTTATCTAATCATTTCCAGGTACGAGGAGGACCGGAGCTTTACCAACAAGGAAGCTGTACATAAGTCGAAGCAGGCACCATGCATGGTGAATACCACTTGAGGTGTCAAGGTACCGCGGAACATGCAGCTCGAGTTGGGTTTCTAACAGGATATCCTTTTGCCTCGTTCATCTCACCCACAACGCATCGTTCATATGCGGTAAACACCTTAGCTGCAGCTACTACTGTAAGCTGAGCTGAGGAATCTCGAGGCGAGGAGTTCCTACTGCTACAGGTCCGTTTGGAGATACACATGAGATGAAACCAAAATTGGGTAGTGTGAGCTCTCGAGATATCATTGGAGGCCCTGTATCTCCAATTTGAATCCCCAACATGATCACCATGCTTTGGGACCTGGAGGCCCTGGCTAAATCTGGCGTGCAGCAAGTCAAATTGTCTTTCAAAGATGAATGTTGGTGTCACCTCGCGCTGCGATTTGAAAACTCTAGAAACTCACTCGGTGCAACTGACCTCGATGGTGAAAGGTCCCGTGCATTTTCTCTCCCATACAAACTTGAGCAAGGCAGGAGTAGTACGATAGGTACACTGGCATTGGCACCAAGTCGTCAAATTAGAACCATTCGTTCCCTTATATACCTACCTATGGCATGGATAACTTGACGTTGCAGCCATGAGACATGTAACTGATATCGTGCATGCCCATGTCTGGATTGCTTACGGCACTGGAGCAGCCATCCACGGGGATGTGCGGAGCGGCGACACTGCTCCCGAGTCCTCGTTCCAGGGCCCCCTGTACAACAGCCACGGACCCGCCGTACTAAGCGTCGCGTTGGCACGCCGCACGCCCTGTCCCTGGTACCAGATTTGGCCATGCATCTGCTATTCCAGCCGAAGGCACACGTTTTCTCATCTTTTACCACGACATCCGCTTGCCTTCACTCAGTCACCAGCTTCCACGAAACTATGTCTTCGGACCTAGCTCCCCGCAATTGATACCTTGGCGACAAAGGACCTTTAGTCCTCCCAAATCGAACGTACTCTGACTTCCGACGACATATCCTTTCGCTTGGGCGCATGCCTCCTTTTCGCTTCGTACACTGACAGATGATCGGCGCTGGGCGTTCTGCAACTATTCCAAGGTCGTGACCGAGGGATTTCTGCCTCGCCATACGCAGATATGCAGTGGCCGTGGCATAAAAGGAAGGACTCCGACGATGGCGAAGCTTTATTGCCTCTGGCGGCCAAGATGCCGAGCATCAATGGTTTGACCATGGAACCTATGGAGACGGAATCATCGCGATCTAGGCCAGGCCACATTCGAACCACATCAGCGCAATCAAGAGTAATGGGCTCCCTTAACGTCCATGTCCTCGATATCTAGCTAATTCTTGTCTGCATAGAGCACCGCCGACGAGTTCTCCTCGATGAGTTCCGCAGAAGCCGCCAGCCGCCTTCAAACGTCACTTACCCGCGGTCTATCGCCAACCGAAGCCTTGACTCGACTCAGCGACTACGGTCCGAACGAGATCCCTCACGAACCCCCAGAACCGCTATGGCTTCGTTTCATCAAACAATTCCAAGAGCCGCTTATTTTATTGTTGCTCGTGTCGGCCGGAGCGTCCTTGTTTTTGGGCAACATGGATGATGCAGTCAGCATCACAGTCGCCGTGACCATCGTGGTCTCGGTCGGTTTTGTGCAAGAATACCGCTCAGAGAAGTCGATAGAGGCTCTTAGTCACTTGGTTCCGGCCCACGCCCATCTGGTCCGCTCAGCTATCAGCAAAACACCCGGCAGCGCCAAAACTCCGACTTGGCCACCACAGGGACCTATGGACGGCACAGAGTCAGTTGGATCTACCACGCCTGGGGAAGAAATGCTGGAAGCAACCTCATCAAAGGTCATGGCCTCACAGCTTGTGCCGGGAGATTTGGTCTACTTCACCACGGGCGATCGTATTCCGGCGGATATTCGGGTCACCAAGGCAGCAGATCTCACGATTGATGAGTCAAATCTCACAGGAGAAAACGAGCCTGTGCGGATCACCGCAGAGACGAAGGCGCGGAGCCTCTCATCTCCTGCATATGGTGCAGACACGCTTCAGCTTCCGAGCCCATCTGCCTTGTCCGACAATCGTGATGCAGGTGGGAGTGGCGAGAATAACATCGCCTGGATGGGCACGCTGGTGAGGTCTGGTCACGGCCAAGGCATTGTTTTTGCAACGGGCGGACAAACCAACTTCGGGACAATTGCGACTAGCGTGTCTGGAACAGAGAGTCCTCGTTCGCCTCTCCAACTCTCCATGGACGACCTAGGCTCTCAGCTCAGCAAAGCCTCGTTCGTGGTCATTGGACTCATTTCGCTAGTCGGCTGGCTTCAAGGAAAGAAGCTGTTGGAAATCTTTACTATTTCGATTTCTCTTGCTGTTGCAGCTATTCCGGAAGGTCTGCCAATTATCGTAACCGTAACCCTGGCTCTGGGCGTTCATAGAATGGCTCGCCATAACGCCATCGTACGCAGAATGCCCAAGGTAGAGACTTTGGGTTCAGTAAATGTTGTTTGTACCGACAAGACAGGTGTGTGGTAGAAGGACTAGATGGAGATTGAACCCGCCGGTTGCTGACATGCCGCAGGTACTCTTACCATGAACCACATGACAACCGCCAAAATGTGGTACTTTGGTGCTAACGATGCCATTGATGTCGAGTCCGATGATGAAGCGACGGAAACCAAGCCCGATCCTGCTACTCTACGTATTTTACGGATTGGTAACATTGCGAACAATGGTCGCTTAGCACAGCAGTATACTGAAAACGGTGCAGCTGCAAGAGCTGTGTTATCGTCAACTCAGGGAGCTGACTTCACTTCGACTTACACGCGCTGGTGTGGCCAACCTACGGACGTTGCCATGCTCGACTTGCTTGACAGATTCAAGGAACATGACGTTCGCGAGTCTATCGGCCCGCGTCTGACGGAGACCCCCTTCAGTTCTGAGCGGAAATGGATGGGTGTTACCATTGGAACTAACGATAAGGAGTTCGCCTACATGAAAGGATCCATCGACAGAATTCTCGAAGCTTGTGACACCTATCTCACTCGGGACGGCCGAGAGATTGTCCTTGACTCTACGCGTCGTGAAGAGGCCCTGCAAGCTGCTGAGACTATGGCGTCAAAGGGCCTCCGCGTACTTGCATTCGCCAGTGGCGCAGTTTCTAGATCTAGGGGCAGAACAGCACTTGCGCCGACTAGCCGAACCAACACCCCCCAACCCGTCGACGAAACCTACAGGGGCTTGACGTTTGCTGGTCTGGTCGGCATGAGCGATCCGCCAAGGCCAGGAGTTGGCAAGTCAATTAGGAGGCTTCTGCGTGGAGGTGTCAGAGTCGTCATGATAACAGGAGATGCCGAGACGACCGCCGTGGCGATTGGCAGGCAGCTTGGCATGCCGATTGCGAAGCCAATCGAATACGCCTCTAATCAAGCTGCAGTTCGGCCAGTCCTGAGGGGAGAGGACGTTGATAATATGTCAGAAGAGGAGCTCTCCCACGCCATTCAGCACACCACCATCTTTGCTCGCACGAATCCGGACCATAAGCTCAAGATCATTCGTGCCTTCCAGGCCAGAGGTGATATTGTCGCCATGACTGGAGACGGCGTCAATGACGCACCAGCACTGAAAAGAGCGGACATCGGCATCTCGATGGGCTTACACGGGACTGATGTGGCCAAGGAGGCTGCCGATATGATTCTCACGGATGACGATTTCTCAACGATCCTTAGAGCAATCGAAGAGGGCAAGGGAATCTTCAACAACATCCAGAACTTTTTGACATTCCAGCTGAGCACAAGCGCAGCCGGTTTGTCTCTGGTACTTATCTGCACAATACTCGGATTCAAATCGCCGCTGAATGCTATGCAGATCCTTTGGATCAGTAAGTCTTTTCATTTCTAGAGAAGGTTGTGCCCAGACTAACAATATCCCAGATATCATCATGGATGGCCCACCTGCTCAGTCTCTTGGCGTAGAATCCGTTGATGCCGATGTAATGAATCGGCCTCCTCGGAAGCGGAACGATGCGGTACTCACGAGGGCTCTGCTCTACAGGGTAATGACCTCGGCATTCATCATTATGGCGGGCACGATGCTCGTATATAGACGCGAGATGCTTGCCGATGGCGAGGTTAATCGCCGCGATACAACCATGACCTTTACTTGCTTTGTATTTTTTGACATGTTCAACGCAATGGCCTGCCGATCCGAATCAAAGTCAGTTCTGCGAGGCGAGGTTGGGCTCTTCTCAAACACCTTATTCAACTGGGCAGTCTCTCTCAGTATTGCGGGCCAGTTGCTTGTCATTTACTTCCCTTGGCTCCAGGAGGTTTTCCAGACAGAGGCTTTGGGCTTATTCGATCTGTTGGGGCTTTTGATGCTTTGCAGCACGGTGTTTTGGGCGGATGAGTTTAGAAAGTACTGGAAGTATGCCAGACGGCGCATGGGGGGCGGTTACAGTCAGGCAGTGTAGACCAAGACGCGGAAGTATCACTCATGCGAAGGTACGGGGGAATCGTACCAGTCAACGGCCTTAGCATATATGTAAAACTCTGAATACGGTAAATAATTTTAACGGCCTTTTCAAAATTCAATTGCAAAATCACTACCTGCTTTTCGTCCGATGCTCTGGAATAGGACAGCTGTGCAGATCAGCCCAAAGTATGTTCCTCCCTTGCGCCCACACCTTAACCTCGCTTATCGGTGAGCTAGGTTCACCGAACCTCCTACATAGCACTTCGGGCCAGCTAACACCTTGACCTGGACCTCAACCCTCACGGCACAGACAACACCCCCCTACCTCTGCTGGCAGGCCAAGGTAGCTATGCACCCGTCAGCTAGCTCGCGCCAATGTCAACACTCACGAATGGCGTTTCCTCCCATCGCGCGGACAGCGACAATGCCGCCGACGGCGCACACAGCAGCGCTGCGGCCCGACCTAGCTGTAGCAGCACCAGCAGTATCTACGCAGCATCGAGCGTCGCCGAGGTGCATGCTGCCCTCGAAGCTCTCCACGCCCGCGAATCGACAATCACGAGCCGTCTCGACGCACTCCTAGGCTCCCAGGCCGACCTCGCCCGCGAATTAGGACGACTAGACCTGCTGCGCGCGGGGCTCGGTAGTCAGGTCATTGCTGCCCGGTCCGTTGGCAATGACATGCTCTCGACGGCCGCGGACACGGCGGGGCGGCTGAGCAATAAGGTGAAGGAGCTGGACTTGGAGAAGAGCCGGGTCGAGGATACACTCGAGGTTGTGAAACAGGTCGTCGAGCTCAAGGCTTGTGTCCAGGGCGTCGTGGGCAGCATGGGTGCCCCGCAGGACTGGGAGGCGGCCGCGGCGTACCTTGCGCGGGCGGCGCAGGTGCCGGAAGATATCACCAAGGGCAAATTTGCGGCGTCGATTGTACCGTCCGTCGAGGTTCCCGACCCCCCGTGGGTGACGCTCGAGAACGCCAAGGAGAGTCTATGCGGGCTGTTCCTCAGGGAGTTCGAGAAGGCGACCAAGGAGGGAGACGGTGCCAAGGTGACGAGGTTCTTCAAGCTGTTCCCGCTCATTGGAAGAGGAGACGTTGGTCTGGACGTATATGGGCGGTATGTTTGCCAAGGCGTGGCCGGTACGGCGCGATCGGTATTGAAGGAGAGTCCCGGTGTCCAGGCGAGGAAAGAAGGCTTCTTCTATGCGAATGCTCTCACCAGATTGTTCGACCATATTGCACGCATTGTGGAAGGTCACGGAGGTCTTGTGGAGCTGCATTATGGCTCTGGCAAGATGGTTCGTGTCATTGAGCGTTTGCAGCAGGAGGCCGACGTACAAGGAGGCATTGTCCTCGACTCGTGGAGCGATGAGCGAGACGTGGACAGGCGGCTTAAGGACGTCAAGAGCTACCCCTTTTCTTTCTTGGTGCAGAGCTTTCTCCCTCAGCAGAGAGGTGGGACCCCGCGGGTCAACTCGCCTGCCATGGGCGCCGGCGCAAACCCGCGAGCTAGTGAGGATGAGGGCGTCAACATGAAGGAGGTCGATGGCCTTCTAAGTGAGATCGCAATCATGCTCGGCCGGTGGTCTCTATACTCCAAGTTCCTAGCAGGAAAGACTCGCGTAAGTTGATTGCCTCCCTACTACTACGAACACGTTACTAACGACTCCTTTAGGACCCATCTACACCCGACGACGCTCCCCTGTCCGTGCCGGAAGTTGTCGTCAAGTCCAACCTCAGGAAGAAGGTTTCGGACAAGCTTACATCCCCCTATAACATCATGATGACTTTCTTCTTCCGAAGATCAGTCGAAAAGGCGTTTCAACTGGACGAGTCGCCAGCGAGCAGCCTGTCTCTCAGTATGAACAAGCACATTGACACAAACCAAGCATTCATCATCTCTGCGGTTGACGACGTCATGTACGTCGTCAGTGCCGTTATCCAAAAGTCAATATCGACATCTCAAAGAGACGTCATCTCATCCGTCATTCCCACCATCGGTCGCGTCCTCGGCTCAGACTTTGTCGGCATGATTCAACGAAAGATGCGAGACGAGTCCTACCCCAAACCAATTGTGCAAGGAGGATTCCCGCCAGAAGACAGGATCATCCAGTTCATCGTCCTCATCAACAGTCTTGATACTGCCAATGAGTACCTCGGACGCATCATTACGACCAACGTCGGAAGCACAAACGACCCGCCAAAGGTAAATGGCGATGCTCATGAGGCATCACTTAGAGACACATTCCCTTTCGACAAAGACGTTGCTTTCGTGGCTTCTGCTCTCAACACACTGCAAAGCTCCTTCACCACGAAGACCACCGAGCTTCTCAACGAGGGACTCCAGGTTCTTTTCAAGCAGGTCGTTCAACCACGCCTTCGGCCTGTGCTCAGCGACACCTTCCGCGACGTGGACTACTCTTTGACGGAAGAAGAGCTAGCCGACTTTGCTCAACAAAACGACGAGGACGAGGAGGAGATGCTAGACCAGGTGTCCCGTCGCTTTGAGCACGGCTGGGACCAGCTCATGAAGCCTGTCGCGCGTCTCATGACGCCTCACACCTTTACGACGCTCCATGACCTGACGGCGCGGTACCTCTCGCGTGTGCTCGAACGCAGGGTCTGGGATGCCCGGGCAAACGCCTATGGTGTTATCCGCATGGAGCGCGACTTCTCCAGCATCGTCAGCACCGTGTCCAAGGGCAACTACGGCGTCAGAGAGCTGTTTGCGAGGGTCTCACAGATCTTGATGGTGGCCAATATGGAAGAGGAGGAATGGGAGGAGATTTCTGCTCAGCCGGATGACGGGGAGGAGGATGGTATGATTTGGGTTCTGACTGAAGATGAGAGGCGGCGGGCGAGGCATCTTACGTCTAGGGAGCGTAGAGGATGAGTTTCCATCTCGAGGGAAAGAGAAAAGATGCACTCCTCCTTTCTCAGAGAATGAGGCTTTTGCGCAAAAGAAGTTATGGGCGGGTTTGGAATACAGAAAAGCTGATGAGAAATGACCTCCTTTTCACTCCAGCAAAGCGGCATTTCACGACGATCAAGATGTTTGCTTGGGGGTGGGTATCCAAGATACAAAGAATACTATTGAGACTGTTACAAGCATTTGAGCTGTTTAACGATCTCCTTGATTTAACGGTGAACAACACGGGTCAAAGACGCATCGATATATGGCCGCACCTGCCATCAAATGTGACAGCTCGGTGTTCTTTCCTAATAACTCGACATTTTTGCCTCGTCACGTAATCCTGCCCCTTTCCTAGAAGAACCCTACCCGGCCTTTACCTTCCCACACTAGAGGCTTCCATCCCGATCCATACTCTACCTTACTCTTGGTCAGAGAATCTTGTCTCAATCATCACTACCTTCCGCCTGCCATCCTCAAGCTTCCACATCTTCCATGTCCTAGCCCCCCTAACCACACTATCAAAAAGCGAAGAGATGGTGGCGACATCGAAACTACGAGCAAATGTCTCAAGCATTTGGTTTGCATGCCATGCGATGTCCTTGAACAAAACCCTGCCATCATCTGTCGGTTGGCGTCTATTGATTGCGTTGACATCCATGACAAGGCTGACATGATGATGGGACTCATCAGTCTTGAGCACTTAACCTGTAGGGTTAATCGATGTCTTTTTTCTTCGCGTTTCCATCCTTGAAGGGGTTAGGTTGGATCAAGAAGGCTACTCCAGCCCTGACAGCCGAGCTGATCTGGAGTATCTGCAGGATGAACATATCCACGGTCATATCGCGAAGCCTGTCCCCGAGGTGTAAGTACAGATCATCTCGACTACTTGAAGTCCATTCGAGCTGACTGAACCCCAGTAGCTCGGAACTCAGTTTCCCTTGGTCATATATGGCCGTCGTTTATCGAGTACGAGCGCGTGTCATTAACGGGTTCGTGAACCAGTTGTAAGAGCAAGACAAACGGCCATAGACGACAAAGACTCTAGTATATAAGATTGACTATAGCTATGCTTTTAGGTAAGGTACTGTGAAGGCAAGTATGTCAAAAATATCCGCCACTAATCCCTGGTTGATGATCTTCACTCAGGGTGAGACTGATCGTGCCGTTTCGGAGATCAGATTTCGGCGATGTGGCCTAAGAAGCAATTCAAAAGAGCTCCATCTTCGAATACTTAAGACGGTATCGTGCTGGCGGTGACTTAGAAGTGTTCTTGAGGAATACGCCTGCGAGGCAAACCCGCATCTTCGACAGATACAGATTTATCGTGTACTCTGCGATCGCTCTGGTACATTGCGAGCCGTCAAATTGCCCCTGTATTCACTCCTTATAGCCAAATTTTCACCTCCGAAGAACGAAACGTCGAACGTATTAACAACTACACTGGTGGGAAGAACTGAAACGAGCGAGACCTCCAGACGAGCAAAACATGCGGGGAAGAAATGAAAAGCAGGCCCAGGTATGTTGAGCCCTCATCGAGTTGATCTGTGAGCATATCCGTATCACTTCTGACTGTAGGTCGGATTCTTTCGACTCTGTCACAACATAACGTCTATGAATGAACGAGCAGGGCGGGCGGCACTGACTTCGTTTAGGTATCTTGTCGCTAAAAGCGAGTCACATTCCCGACCCCTCATAATTAATAGCCTGACATCGCCTTGTAACGCGGTCGCGGTAGCAGCAGAAAGCATTGCTTGAGGTCCAACCACCAAACTTTGCAGCCTATGCAGAGAGCCGATATCATGTATAAATGGGTCCTCCATTTCTTGTCAACAGCCTTGCTATCACCATCTCTTACGCAACATAAAAGATGGCCACGGGCTCAATCTCAACTCTCCATTCTCAGGACTAATCAAGTGAGCTTAGTCGTCGGGAGAATGCTTGGCACACTGACAGGGTCCAAGTTCCGGCGTTTCAAGGGTCACCCGCGTAGAGACGGTTCGAAACTAGCCATCGATGACGACCGCCGCTCACCTGAAGACACTGAGGGTTCGGCAGCGTGGAACCGTTTGCGGACCGCGACAAGAATACTCTACGATTGGTGGCAGCCAACGACGGCGCGTCGTCGACTACCCCAGGATGGCCGTCGAATCACTTCAGGATCCTGAACAACTTCGAGCTCGGACCCAGGCTTCGATGCATCATCTGCTGCTCGATCGAGACGAACTATTCTGTGCGTCGGCGGAGTCTCGAAGCTGCCCACGACTTCGGACGGACCACCATCCGTCCAATTCACCCGAGTCAGAGAACCTACACTAGCATCTGGCAGATCGCAGCATGGTTCCAGAGGGCGTTTTTTTGCAATAGAGACGCCGAGGGGACCGAAGAAGCAGAATGGTGGGACCCTGAGACTTTGCATTGCATCAAGTCTGGATGCATTCCATGACGCCCATTATCTGCCAAGATGGCCCGACGACGTATACCAACCATACATTTTAGACGACTTGTATTCGTAAAGAGGTGCTGAGGCAGGCGGCGGCCACATGCCTCTTCGGCAGCGGGAATGCCGGCCTGAACAAAGACCCTCGGTCTCGGAGCGGTAAGGAGCCAGTAACGGCAGACTCCAGAGACGGGCGGCGAGCGGAAAAGGCGCGTGGCTGGCGCCATGACGCCAATTCCCACGCGCAGAAGGACTCGGACCTGCAAGCGACGAGTATTTTTTCTCTTTATCGATTCTTTGAGTGGTCGCAGGAGAGTATCCACGGTTTCCACTGTGAGTGGATTGTCCCATTGGAGTGGGCAAGATGCAAGACCACGACATCGACATGGTGTTAGTAGGTGGGTTTTGGACATGGATTCTGGTCGACCCTTGACATTCTGGGGTCCTTTTTCGGGTTCTTGAATATGCGGAGCTCCTACTTATGAAATGCGGGACGTTGACTGGGCGCAGAGATCGATGCGATGTAGACCTTCCTTTTGACAGTCATGCAACAGTCACCATTGGCTGGGAGGCATAGTATTACGGGGGTCAACTCCAAGCTTTGCCATCCGGGAGAAAAAAAATGCAATCCCTTTGGGTTTCTGAATCCCTTCGGCACATGTCTCGCGCGGACGGCTGAGTCTAGCAGCGGTCGAGAACGGGCGCTCGGGTCCGACTGTCGTCAGGCAAACCAGCCCGGGTCGAGTTATTCGTTTTTGGAGACATTCACGATTCCCAAGCTCCTCCAATCTCGAACGGTAAACCGGGGGCCGGAGGAGGAGGAACAGCAGCTGGCGCCAGAAGTGACTCCAGTGAGCCCGCCCCTCTCCGATCTGTGCCGTAATTCTCCTCTCCCACGCTTCACCCTTGGCCCGGCATCTGGCAGCTTGGTTTGGACGGAGATCATGCCAGGATCTGGTGACGGATTCGGGTTCCTTCAGGCGCCTTAGCGAGAGTTTCCGACGCCCAGGTTCAGCCCATGGCGCCCAGCCCGGAGCATCCAGCCTTCTGCAGACTGCGTGTGTGCTGTACGACAGTTTGCCAGGCCCGCATCCCCCGAGTCGGGTCTGCCCAATTGCCTGATATCTGAATCCTTAGATTATTACGGACACGCGAGCGCTGAGTCGTCGATGGGCCTGCTGAGTCGCTGACGCCGACGACCACTTGCAGAAATCGCAGCCATAAGGGGTACGGAATCCGCTCAATCCCCACCTGCTTTCGCTTGACCCTTGTGTTTATGTCAAGCGCGAACTCCATTTCAATGCGTTGGATGAGGCAGGAGACTACGGAGTAATATGCACATGCCAGCCTCAGAAACAGGACAGGACAGCGCAATTCAAGGCACAGCATGCAGCGAAGAGGAGCAGAAGTGAGGAGTCCACGACCAAGCGGCATATTTCGGGCGACTAAACAGCCACTTCCATTATTTGGAAGCTGCTTGCTTGCGCCGCTGCTGACTCATTTGGGGCATCACTGAGTCTGCGATGTTGTGTTTCGCGCGGGTTCGCTGAATATGGCACCCAAGGAAACGAAAAGGGCGGATATGGCTGGTGGATTTGAGATGTTGTTGTCTTGTTGTGTTGTCTTGCCGCTATTCGCTACGACGCTACAACAATGCAGCCGCCCGTGGGAAATCACCATGGCAATCCGACCGAGCCTTGAATGAATTTCACTTGTTGCTTTCTTCTCCGGCAATGCGGGTACGGGTAGCATTGACAATCACCTCGCTGGCGCCCACTTCGGTCACCAACCAATATGGATAGATTCCTTCTGTGGTTTCTCTGCCTCCCGCTCCTACTGTCTCAGTCTCGCTGTCAGCTCATCAGCCATGATCAGCCTTGTCGTACGGATACTCCAGAAACAAACACGGCCACACCACCACCCTGAACTGGTAGACCAAGTTGGGAAAGGCATCCGGAGCAGCGGACTACCTAAAGAGTAATTTGAGGTTGTCCTGCAAAGAAAAGCTTCCTGCGCAGAGGCTCCTCCGGTTGGCTAGGCTTCCCCTGTAATAAGCTACGCTGGGCGTATCATGCCATGGGTCGCCCAACCTCTCGCATCGGCGCGTCAGAACCGCACCACAATCGTAGCCATAACATCTCATACATATCCCTCGCGTGACCCGCCCGCGCGGTTGGTGCTGCCCTCTTGTTTGGTGCTTCTGGCTTTCTTGCTTCTGCAGCGCCTACGCTTCCTTCTCCTACCCGTTTTCGTCACTTTTCTTGGTTCCTCTTTCTTTGGTCCCAAGCAACCTTTCCTCTCTGGGTGCTACCGTCCTTTTTATGGACTTGTTGATGGAGACTGCCTGCATTAGGGCCAGCCAGTGTTACCTTACTTTGTCTCTTCCCCGTCGAAACCGCTTTTTTAAAACCCCCGTTGTCCCTCCCCCAGACACCATCTGACGGGTTCGGTTTGAGTCTGGTGGGAACTGAGATTCAAACTCCCTTTTTCAACACTACCAACCGAATGGCCATTGGCGCTACTCTCACCTTCACAACTCTAGACGGACATGGCCGAGTCTGATCTCGTCCGTCCTTCAACGTCGCATTCCGGCGCCTCGGGCTTTCAGAGGAGGTTTCTTCTTTCAAGCCCGGGGCGGCCTCGAACCGCAACTGGTCTCAACGACCCCAAATTCAACACCCCCTCGCCTGCTGGTGGCTTGGCTATCCGAGTCTGCATCAAGTTTCAGCCGTCTTTGGATCTTACCTATGAGAGACAATACCAATCATCGTACGGATTCGAACCGACCGATCAACTATGTCAAGCACTTATACGTCGCTTAACCCACTGCTCTCATGAGCTTCTCACCCGCAGAGATTCAACCGCCCTCGAGCGGACTATCCCACAAATTGGGGAAGGAAAGCCGCTTCGATTTGAGTTAACCTACCAGATCTATCGCGGAGGCCCGGAACCATGGGCAACGAAAACGTTCAGTTCGTACCAGAAGTACCCCATGGATAAGCCGTTTGCCATGGAGATCGCTCGCTCGACAGACCGCATTATAGGCTCCTTTATGAAGCTTCACGACAAGTCTTTCAGATGGACGCAAGGGAGGACACGTGAGCGATCCTCAAGCGAGCTGGAAATTCTCAAACCTTTGAGCAACCCGGTCTCCCTCCTTCACGTCCCCCAATCGCGTTTCATTGATGCTACCCAAGATTGGGAATTCGTCCCCGGCTACGAGATCACTCTATCCTTCCGGAGTCGATGCAAGTCACGCAGGCAAAGAGAATGGCAACGTACTATCACGCTGAAGAGCAAGCAGAGCTCCCCGCTAACCTTGTCCCATGGAGAAGATATGGCGTGGGTTTTGTCAACAGCGATGCAACGTGCCTTGGATGCTAGGAAGATGGCGTTTGATAGGCATCACCGCCAATCTCGTGACAGATTTGACTTCCTTGACGAGTCCCATCATTCTGAGCAAAACGCCGTTCATGTCGGATTCCAAATACGGAATCAACTTGGACTGGATCACAGGCACCTGCGCCGCGAGCTTGATAGCAACCTGCTCCTCTTCGAGCACCCTGAGGGTCTCGACTGCGACCAGTTCTTGAGCCAGCTCCAACATGCCTTTGAAGCGGTGCGAGATGATACTGACAAGGAACTGAACGAGATGGACGACCTCAGAGTCACAGTTTATGAACTGTCCGGGCGCGGCTGGAAAACCGAAAAGCCATTTGCTGTCTGCCTCGACTCAACTGCCTGCTATTCTCGGAGAACGGTCAAAGCCATCTTGGACAGAGTGCAGACCGGCGTTGCGGATATCCTCGGAGGCAACGATATAAGTATCACTCTGATGGTTCACAAGCGTGGCCACCTGGTTTTGGACAAGACCCTCGTGGCCCGTTCGCCGTACTACGCGACGGGACAGCGCCAAGACGAAGATCCTGAGACCGTGAAGGAGAATTTCCTGTCGAAACTCAAGAGCCGAATCCAATCCGACATTGCTTTGGTGGTGAAAGACACGTGCGCTCTCTACGACTCTCAGCCACAGAACATTCGCGTTGTCGAGCGGCCAGTTCCTGCAGCGAATGACCCTGCAGAGATGGAAGCTTTACCATCTAGTAGCCCGCTCCCGATCCCGACGCCTAATGGAGCCGTGCCGGACTCTTTCGATGGCAGCTTCACTGAGTCGTCCGAACCTTCGATCCTCGAAGATGAAACGCTTCAGAATAGCAGTGGGGTTGAAACGATGGCCGGAAGCGTCAATGACACCGTGGGGCCCTCGCAACAGCCTGAAACTCCAGCCAAAGCAATCGCTTCCAGAGATCAGCTCGACTGCAGCGGCAGCAGTTTGTCCTTCTCGATGACTGAAGACGGCGAAACTACATATCCATCCTCGTCGTCTACTCCAAGCCTTGCCGACGATAACATTGGCACGCCCCACGATAGCCTCTTGATCACGCCGACCTTTATGCGAACGCTCTCGGGAACCCCTCAACAATTTGACGCAGATCCGAACATTGCCGGTTCAGAAACCTCCGATAGCGACCTTGTCGACGATTCACTAGTAGGGCCGCCGACACCGACGATGCAGCGCTTCAACGGCCCACGACAGTTCAGCCTGCTGGGTAAAGGCAGCCGGTCTGTTTCCAGACAATCTCTGGTATCAACCGACTCTGGTTCCGAACAGCGGTCACTGACCGACTCGGAACCGTCGCCTTCGCCAGAATCAGAGGATGTGATTGTCCAGGTCGAAGAAGTTGCTGAGTCGGAGCCCAAGGTCCAGTCTGCTGCCGCCTGTTTGCCGGTATCGCCTGCCGCGGAGGTTGACGAGCCATCTGAAGAGCCTGCTCTAGAAGGTTGGCTCGAATACTGCTGCGAACCAGTCGATGCCGACGAACAGTCGGTCGCACCGGAGTCGGAAGCATTGCTTGAAGCCGAAGTACAGAATGCCGAGGAGTCGATAAGCCAACAACAGCCAGTGATCGTCATCACTCCAGACGTACCACGAGCTAGGCCTTCTACCCCTCCCCGATCCTTCGAAGGCTTCTTAGAGTACTCTATTGAAACCATCGTCGAAGAGGACGAGGACGACTCTGATGCTGAGTTCCATGACGCAGACTCTACATCTGCCTTCGCCATCATGTCGAGCCCTTCAAGCTTTGCAACGGCGACGGAGACTGGGCTGAACTCTCCCGTCAACTTCGACAATGGGCCACTCTCACCCCTTATTCTCGATTCTGCGACGGCGTCACCTAATCGGGTTGATTCAGCTTCGCCTTCCCTTGATCTCGAGAAGGGAGCTTTACCGCCTGCTGTCGAGGTGATGAAGTCAGGTTCTCTATTTGAGGATGTGCCATCCGCTCTGGCTTCGACTATCCAAGTCGATTCTTGTACGTCTTCCACTGACACGATCGAACCTACCACCGCCCCGCACATTCCCGAGGCAATCGAGCCCTTGCTACCCAAAGCAACTGAGGATTCTCCTCCCGAAGTTGCCGAGGACCCTTCTATTCCTGAAACACACGAGCCCGCTGTTCCCGACGTTCCTCCTGCCCCCGAAGCCATTGAGCTGTCCGCGGTTCCCCTGGAACCTGTCGAGCCGACTCTTGATTCCTCCGAGCAGATTCACAGAGATTCACAACCTCCAGTCCTGACCGAGGCCCAGTCCGTCTCGGATGAAGCTCCTCGTACGCCGACATCGGACTCGGTGCCCTCGTTCAGCGACAAAGAGGAAACTCGTGAACCGTCTACTCCGCCGTTGATGACTGAAACTGAGGATTCGGACTACTCAGAACCTTCAGAGCCTACCGTACCATTCCCCGAATTCTCCAGCGATGCGACCGTTCACGACGAAACCATGTCTCTCTCGCACTGGTCGCCGCAGAGAAGATCATACCACTTTGACGACTCGAGCGACAGCTACTTCGGTCACATGCGCAAGATGTCGATCCCTCGGCCATTGTTTGCCCGTCCTAGCTCGAGTTACGCATCCTTCGGCGGATCATTCGGCCATAAACGTCAATTTTCATCACCGACTGCGGGGTTCTTCGGCCTCCAGGAACCGCGTCGTCTCGACATTGGTCTCCGTGGTGCTTTGGTCGGTATCAGAGCCCTACAGAGCCAGGGGAAGCTAGAACGACGGCCATCGCAAGTACTGTTGACACTCGACAACGATAAGGGCATGGTCCTTGTGCCTGGCAATAGTCGACGCAATAGCGAGAGCAGGGGAATTGGAGGTGCAGGAGTTTTGGGGCTGGGCAACGCTTTCGCGTTTTGAACGCATTGCCGGGACTGATAGAAGGATAAACGTCACAGGAGGATTCTTAAAAATATGATGATATGATGACTTGAGGGGAATTGGACGGCGGCACGGAGACTAGGTCCAGCGGCCACCCGGGCAGAAATCCGGTTGTTGGCATGAATTGGCGTTTGGGGTACTTTATTTTGATACAGCGGGTTTCAACGCAAGCGCGCAAGCGATGCATGGCGGGCTGTTTTGCCTGATCAAAAGCGCAGTCTACGTCGCTATTACTAGAATTAGGCAATCAAAAGCACGAAATCTAGAAACCGGTATGAACTACTCATTCTATATGCTCGCTTGTAACAGATCTGGTATATGTGCGTACTCTGTGACATTGCTCTGATCCAGGTCAGCCTTGTTATCAAGACTTCTGTGTAACTTGAGCTGTTTGTCTCCCGAAAGTTGCGTTTACCGCCCTTGAGCGCTCGCCCGCCATACCGCCACTCACCAACAGTTGGAAATGCAATGGGGCAAAACTCGAGGCTCGAGGCAAGGGTAGATAAATGAACAAGCTTGCATGGGATCTAAACCTCGAGTGCCTTGCCTCGAGCACCTTGAACGGTTATCTCGGGGTGCATAACCACGAGATCTCCACGTCTATTTCTGAATGATAGTGTTCAAGAGTAGTAGTGCTGCAATAGTGTGATTGTGTCATACACAATTTTGTCGAAGTTTTGTTGCTTGTTCTTTCTTTACCCAGAGGCGCAGATGGTTATCTCGGGGAAATGTTTGTCTCTTCCGAGGCTACTCTAAACTTGGCATGTCTTTCAATCTGTATGCCTAGAGCGCCTTATTGGACGTGTCAAACTTGCTCGGCTGTCTCTACACGACCACGCGGTACAGAGAATCCCATCCGCCATCGACCAGTACTTGAACGTCTCTTAACGTATATATGAATATGATTCCCCTGCTCGTCTTCTTTGCCTTGCACTGGATTTGGTTTGAGTTTGCTGTAATTAAATGTGACTGGGATCAAGGTTTGTGCTAAGACCAGAGACAATCTCATGCTGCGCCGTTCAGGGTCCATGTACGTCCTAAAGTTGAGACGCAATACTTCATGGCTCTCAGTATTATCCTGAATACACGAGTGGAATAATAAACGCCTGCTTCTCAGTCGAGTGAGTCTTCGTTCCTCACTTCATCTTTTCTCCCACCTTTTGCGATCGCCATCCTTCCGCGGCGGGTTTGTGCGACCTTATCCCCCTTATTGAACCAACACGGGTCAAACGGAGCGCCCGCATAAAATCGCTTTCGGTCATATCGGCATCGGCTCATGCTCATTCTCATACTCGTTTGAGGTTGAGGAACATCTCACCTCGCATCCGCTATTTACTTCTCTCAGATCCGGCCTCATTCATTTCCCTTCACACCGACGATGACTCGCAGAACCAAGAACGCTGCCCGCAAGGCCCGGGAGAAGGCCGCAACTGAGGAAGGAGGCGCCAAGCTGCAGAACTTGGAGAAGATGATGGGCGAGCTCACCATCAAGAAGGAGGAGGAGGCTGAGGGTGAGGAGAATGGCAATAATGGAGGCGAAGGAGGCGCCGATCTCCGCGACATTGAGGAGATGATGATCCAGTTGAACATCAAGAGGGAGGATCATGCAAACGGAGGCAGCAACGACGACGGTCATGATCAGAAGGGTAATGATGCGATCTTGGATTGTGTTGAGCTGAAGGAGGCCTTGGATGACCTCAAGAACCCCAAGAACATCGATCCTAATGAGGAGAAGAAGGCGAACGGCGAGAACAGCGCGCCAAGGATGAACAGGAAGCTGACCGAGAAGGAGCAGGCGAAGGTTCAGACGAACCTCGTCGCGCGCTGGGAGGAGTACTTTGGCAAGAGAGAGCTGGCCGACTGGCAGCGTCTCTGCGGTGATCTGGGTCTGGAAGCGGATCTGCCCACCAAGACCCAATGTCGAAAGGTGAGTTACCCTCAAGAACCACTGCGTGATATATCGGCGGCTGACAAAGTGAATTTCCTATGAATAAAGGCCCTGAAGACGGTCCACGTCAGCATCAAGCAGTTTCTCAGTGTCGAGAACCGACCGGGCGAGGTTGAGTTCTTCAAGAATCCCTCCCAGCTTGGACGGTATTGCCGCAAGAACCGCATGTTCATGTCCAGCAAGGAGCTTCCCAAGGGTGATCCGCTCCGCTCCCTACGGCGCAAGATGAGATTTTAATGCTGGGAGGTTCCAATGCTAAAAGGGGAGATGAGTGAAAGGGCGACATGGCGAGAGCACAGAGGACAGCCCGTTTTTGATGCAGGAAGATGTAATTAAGACAGGCCCTCACGCCAGATGATTAACCTCAATACACAAACATGCCAACCGAATTTTCTTTTTTGGATACCCTTCTTAACTCCTAATCTCCCACATTCTAATCTTGCCCGTATCATTGCCGACCGCGAGAAGCTCGCTGCTCCGCCCAAACGCAACGCTCGTGATTCTGCCCAGGGGCGTCTGTTCCGTGGGCCAGTTCCTGTAGACGGTGCAGCTGGGGAGGTGAACCAGGCGCAGCGCGTCCTTGGACTCTGTGCTGCCGAATGCCATCAGCTGGCCGTCGGGGGAGAAGGTCAACACCGTGATGGGTGTGACGAGCTGCTCAAACGTGCGCGTCGGCTCGGGCCGCTGCTCGACGTCGACCTCGCCGGCCTTGGACGACGTCTTGACGAGCGTGTGGCGATCGTAAATGTTGGTGATGCCGCTGCTGGAGCCGACGGCAACCCACCTGTCGTCGCCGAGGAGTTCGGGGCCCTGATGGCCACCCAGCGCGATGACGATGCCGCCCACGCAGCCATCGTCGTGCCATACAGCCAGGAACCGCTTCTCGGCCACGCTGTACTCTCCGACGGAGCCATCCCGACCGAGGATTGACATGCCCTCGCCGTTGCTCCACCACACGAAGTCGGCGATGCCGTGCCGGCTGTCCAACCGGGCGGCAGCGATCCACTGCCTCGACTCGGTGCTGATGATGTTGATGATGCCGCCGCCCTTGCGCGTCGACGCCACGAGACCCATGTACCGCCCGCAGGGGCTAAGCTTGAAGCGCTCCATGGTCTTGTGCTCGAGCCTGTGGCCCTGGATCTGCGACGTCTTTTGCACGTTGCCCGTCTGCAGGTCCCAGCTGTGGAAGAATTTGCGCCGGCCGGCGAAGAAAATTTGGTCGCCCGACGGGTAGAGGAACTCTGCGCGGCGGACGTCGACGCCCTTGGCCTGCACTGAGGTAAGCATCGGGTTCGCCGTCGGGTGGGCCGTCGGGTTGAGGTGGTGCAGGTAGAGCACGGAGGAGACGCTCGAGGAGAGGAGGACGGGGTATCGCGGGTGGAAGGAGAGGTTGTTGACGGCTGCCTTGTGGGTGTCGGGGATCTCGCGCGTGCGCTGGATGTCAATGACTTCGGGGCGGAGGCGGGCTTTGCCGCCGTTGGCAGCGCCTTTGCCGGCGAGGCGGTGGACGTCGCGCATGAACTTCTCGAGGGGCGCCGCGGAGAGGTTCGTATCGCTGCCTTCTTCGTCGGAGCTAATAGAGGAGTCGGAGGCGGCGGCCGAGGAGCGCCTTCTCCTCTTTGCGGGCCTTCCCTCGGACGAAGGCTCCTGCGCCCATTTTGGCAGCGGGTTGAGGCGGACGAATTGCTGTCTCAGTCTTCTGCTGTACTCTGCGCCGCTGACCATGTCCTCGGCCTCGGTGATGCGCAGCTTTCGTAACCTCGTCGCGGCCGCCAGGGAAACGGTCAATCGCTCGTCATCACTATCCTCCCACGCAGGCGCGTTCTCGTCAACGGCCGCTGGCTCTTGCTTGCTGCCCGCCTTTGCGCCGCCCTTTGCCGCGGGGACTCCGGTGTCGAGGAAGAAGAGATCGTGGTCGGCGACTTCCTCTAGTGTGGGCTCGTCGTCCGGCTTGGTGAGCTGGAGGTTCTTTTCTCTCTCGAGTCGTTCGATATCGCCGAGAACATCGTTGCGGAAGAGCTGTTCGCGGAAATCGGCCTTGCCTCCCAGGACCAGCTTCTCGAGCTCCTCTTCGTCGGAATCCTTTTCGTCGAACACGGGTTTCGGTTTGCGTTGGCGGGGGACTTCCTCCTCAAATTCTGACTCCTCGGAGGAGGTGACCTCTTCCTCTTCGGAGGATTGCTCAAACGGTTGTTCTTTTGCCATTGTCGCCGGTCGGTGGTGATTTTCTTGTCTCGTTCGGTCGTGGGCGCACCAGCGGATCGAGGTGGGAATGGACGGGCGGCTTGCAGAGGACGTCCAGAATTTTTTTGATGGAGCTTTCAGCCTTGCATCTTCAAGGAGGATTTGATTGGCGTAGCTGTACACGCTGGGAAACAACTCAACCAATGGCATTTGAGTGATGATAAGGCTCGATTGCGGGGCATTTAGGACCCCTCCTAACGAGACTCAAACTGGCAAATGGGTGACAAAATAAGATGCTGGTCGACACTCGACCATGATACCTACTTACCTCTTGATTGTTCCTGACTTTCTTATTCTTCTTATCTTTATTCTTGAGGTTTCCACTATCTTTATTCTTCTTATTATCTTTATCGTTCTTACTGCCTTTACTATTCTTATTATCCTTATTATTTTTATTATCCTCATTGTTCTCACTGTCTTCATCATTCTTCTTATCTTTGTATTTTATATATTCATGAGATAATACTCTTAAGAAGAAGGATAAGAGAGCTAGGTACTGTAATACCTATAGAGCGGTAAACGACTATGTCGCCTACTTAACTAGTAGTTTGTGATCTTAGTATCTAGAGATATTATTTTATTTCTTGCTTTTTAGTTATCCTCTACTTCTTCTGCTAATTTCCTCTTTTTTGCTCGTCTTACTTTCTTGTCCTCGTCGGCACCAGGGCGTAACTCTTTTGGTTGTTCAGCTGATTCTGAGCGTCGGCTAGTTCCTCCGCTGTATACTCCTCTCCTGATGCGAGACTTGACAGACTCATGCCATCGTCGGTCATGGCCTCTGTGACTGTACTCTGATCGTCGTCTTCGTCATCGTCATCGTCCTCGCCTTCATCGCTAGAGATGTCGCCGTCTGTGTCCTCCTTGTAATGAATCCTGCGACGAGTAGCTTGTCGCTGCGTCTTGTTCTTGGGCCTTGATGAAGGCAGAGATGACTGCTCGGCTCCGGTCTCCTCGATGGCCTTGGTGTCGTCGCCCAAGTCTAGTCTCGCGAGGTTATGTCTAGTTATAAAGCTAAAAACCATTCGCCGGCCCTCTCAAGCTCTCACATTCCAACCAAGGCCTATTCAGCACGGAATAAGCCAAAAACAATTGATAGAGTAATATATAACAATATAGAATAAGCTAAAGCATTTCTCTAAAAAAAACATATATATGTTATTGTTTTCCTTTGTTCGCTATGGGAGTGGCAGATTTGGCCCAGGGGAGCAGTGGATGAATCTATCACCCGCGTAAGAGTCTATTGAGCTCGTATCCAGATCTGGCCTTACCACCTTATTTACTCCCTAAGCAGCCACACAGCCTGTGGTAGCGACACCGACGATGAAGATGGCATCGCGACTACTACCAAGGGGTAAATCCATCGGGCAGCTTCTATAGAAGCACGACGAAACTATCAGACTCCCTGGCAAGGTAGCTATCGATGGTCGGCCAGTGGTCGATAAAGTGGCTCAGGCAGGAATACTCTTTTCCATCGCCCTCGGTGATCAAGCCCGTGATGAACCCACAGTCGACAGTGTTTGTGTGCGCCATGATAGGCTGATTGTAGTGTTTATGTAGTGACCGTGTATATACCGAGCCGGGTTCGTGGCAACTTTATCCTGCAAAGCAGAAAGCTATAAGGAGGCCGAGGGTTTTAGTGCCTCGACCTGTCCCACAATAGAATGGCAGAACGGTGTCTTGTAATAGTATATGACTCTATTTGCTGTTACTTTCAACCTCCCCGACGACGAAGAGAAAGACACCCTCGAGAAGGCCTGCTTCCTTGACCCCGACGGGAGTAAGAGATCGGACTAGAAATCGGTATCCCCAAGTCTAAGTATATCTTGAGCTCTGTTCCTAATACTATAATTATCGCCAAGACAACTACTTTTCTTTACTCTGTAATTATTCTATTGACAATATGTCTTAAGAAGCTAAAAAAGAGTGTAATGACAGAGGCAATAAGAGAAGTAGTAGTAATAAAAAGGGATTAAGATATGTCTCGGCCGGCATACTATTTTGCCAAGCTTAGGGCTATGTCTGTTCTTGCGCTAAGGGATGGATCATTCATATACCCTCAGCGGGTCTGAGCCGTCAACCAACTATCACTGGATGAAAACATCCACACATCCCCGATAGTCTAGTGGTGAGGATATCTGCTTGTCATTGAAAAGTCAGCGATTCGCAGGGGACCGGGGTTCAATTCCCCGTCGAGGAGTATTCTTTTGCCCAGACTTATCATTTTATGAGTTATCGTGAAGAATGGGTGGTGTTTGTGAAGTTTTTGTCATGGTTATGAGTTGTGAGAGTGAGTATCGTGGGATCGCGAAATGCACCTACGCTAAGCCACAGGTAGCGTGGCGCGGTGGGGTTCCAGTCTGGACCTTCCTTGTAAGTAAGGTAAGCACCACTGTATTTCGGAGGGCGTGCACCTCGGCTCTGGGTACTTGGTAGGGCGTCTTCTCATATCGCCGTATTCCGCTGCTCTTGAGAGCTAGACGTTCATCTTATATGTTGAGCACCCAGCGAGCCTAATTGAATCGTGTTCAGCTCTCAGTAGCAGTCTCGACTTTTATAGCTTAGTACGACAAGCTTGGCGGCCACTCTCCTTGTCGAAGAAGCAAAACATTGATCAGTTCATCCACAACAAGACAACCAAGCAACCAGGGGCACGGCACATCGCCGTCGTCTATCAAACATGATTGTCCCACGCTCATCTTGCCGCTTGGCCAGACAAGCTCTCTCGCAGCTGCAGCTCTCGCGCCAAACTGTTGGGGCCAACCCAGCACGTCGTCACATGAGCGCCGCCGCATACCAATCAGGCGGACTGAAGAATCTCCTGCGTGTTTCTGAAGAGGTTGCCGATGCCGTTGCCACAAATAAGCCGGTTGTGGCTTTGGAGTCTACAATCTACACACACGGTGCGCTGGGCAATGATCTCGGCCTGGAAGACATTGTCCGTCAGGGCGGCGGTGTTCCTGCTGTGTGTGGTATCCTGAACGGCGAGCCTATCGTTGGAATGACGGAAGCTGAGGTTGCCTTCATGGTCGATTCTGGCACGGCGGGCAAGGTGTCGAGGAGAGATGTTGCTCACCTCGTTGGACTGGTAAGTCACTAGATAGCATTGCGCTATATTCGTGTTGGTCCATTGACAGACGTCTTCTGCGCACATTCCATGCCTCAGTTCTAACATATCTCAGGGAATCACTGGAAAGAAGGTCCATGGCGGCACCACCATTGCCGGAACCATGCTACTCTCAAGACTCGCAGGCATCCGCGTCTTCGGCACTGGCGGCCTAGGCGGCGTTCACCGCGGCGGCGAGAACTCCCTCGACGTCTCCGCAGACCTCACGGAGCTCGGCCGCACGCGCGTGGCCGTCGTGAGCTCAGGTTGCAAGGGTTTCCTCGACATCCCGCGCACGCTCGAGTTCCTCGAGACGCACGGCGCCTTCGTCGCGACTTTCGCCGACGGCCGAACCGGCAACGTCGATTTCCCCGCCTTTTGGGCCCGCGAGAGCGGCACAAAGAGCCCCGCGGTCGTCCAGACCGAGCGCGAGGCCGCCGCCATGATCTTGGCGCAGGAAAGCCTAGGCATCGAGTCCGGCATGCTCTTCGCCAACCCGATCCCCGAGGAGTACGGCATCCCCCGCGCGGAGATGGACGCCGTCATCGAGACGGCGGTCACGGAGGCCATTGAGAAGGGCTTCACGGGCGCCAAGAACACGCCCTACGTCCTCGGCAGGATCAGGCAGCTGACGGAGGAGCGAAGCACGCTGGCCAACAAGGCGTTGGTGAGGTCCAACGTGGCGCGGGCTACCAAGATCTCGGTGGAGCTCTCGAAACTGCTGAACGAGGGCGTTTCGAAATCGTAAGTTTTCGATTTCGTTGTATATAGCTCAGCCGGGGACTCGGACTCTGACTGCGTAGATAGTTCTTCGAGCACGCATGTTTCTGGTTATGACATTCCCCCTAAAGCTACCGTCAAAGTGGAAGAACCCAAGTCCAGCAAGGCCGATGTGCTTGTGGCGGGCTCCGTAGCGATTGACCTGAGCTGCGACTACCATCCCCTGGGTGACAAGAAAGAGGTCGCGCCTCATATGCAAACCTCAAACCCTGCTTGTATCAACCAGTCCATCGGCGGCGTCGGTCACAACGTCGCTCTAGCAGCTCACAGAGTAAGCAAAGACACGACAGTACGCCTATGTAGCTTGATCGGTGACGATGTGTAAGCCCGCTCCCCCCTTATACCTACAATTCCACACCTAACGAAGTGAAAAGCGCCGGCGCAACCGTCCTGTCCTCTCTCAAAGCTTCAGGCCTCGAGACAACCTACATCCGCCAGCTCACCTCCGAGTACCACGTCGCGAACCGGACGGCGCAGTACGTCGCCGTCAACGACGCCGAGAAGAACCTCGTCATGGCCATGGCCGACATGGGCATCTTCGCCAACCACTCCTTCCCAGACTACTGGAAGTCCGCCGTCGCCGGCGCCAAGCCGGCATGGCTCGTCGTCGACGGCAACTGGAGCCCCAAGGACGTCCGGGCGTGGATCGACGCCGGCCGCGAGCAAGGGTGCAAGGTCGCCTTTGAGCCCGTCTCGACGGCCAAGTCCATCGGTCTCTTTCCCAAAGAGCACCCGCACCTCGGCGTCTTTCCCAGCCCCGGCATCGACATCGCGTCGCCCAATAATTTTGAGCTTAACGCCATGTATAGCGCGGCCAAGGAGAATGGCTTCTTTGATACGCCCGAGTGGTTCGAGGTCATTGACGCCTTCAACATGCGCGGTGCGCGAGACCGCTTCGTGGCTCTTACGTCCAAGGAGATGACTGACGCGGGCATCCCCGTGCAGACGGTTCACCTCCTGCCGTACATCCCTACCTTAGTCACAAAGCTGGGGTCCAAGGGTGTTCTCCTGACTACGATTCTAGGCAAGAATGATCCCAGACTCAAGGATAGAAACGAAGAGAAGTGGCTGCTTACGAGAGGCTACGTTGATCATCCCACCGTCGGCGGCGTCTACATGCGCTTGTTCCCGCCTGCTGAGAAGGTTGCCCTCGACGAGATTGTATCCGTCAATGGGGTTGGTGATACGTTCTTGGGAGTTCTCATTGCTGGCCTGTCAAAGGGGGGCAAGGTGGAGGACTTGATCGATGTCGCGCAAAAGGCGGCAGTCATGACGCTCAAGAGCCACGAGAGTGTGAGCCCTGACTTGGAAAGGCTGGATGGGGCCCTAAAGGCTTCTGTGAGGAGTTGAGAGCATCATGAAGTTACCCATGTAGAATAGAAAAGTTCGCGGCGTTCAGTGAGACTTGACCCTTTGACCTGCTTCATGTATACCGAACGTGTTGCGTGCTCTTGTGATGATATGTCAGCAGAGGCAAACTTGACTGTCGAACAGCTGGGTTGTAGGAGTCGAACCATATGCCTGAGAAACACCAGCGTCTCGGTTTGTTCATACTAATCAACCACTCAGCTGGATGGCCTCGGCAGCTTCGAAATGCGGGGTGCTCCGTCCTTTAAATCTATAATCTATGTACCCTTTACTCTGCTCCTCTCGTAGTCTTGTAAGTCAGGAGTTGAGGATAAGATCGAAAGGCAAGGTTGGCGGGTTCCCGGGGTTTGGGTCTAGTCGGACTGCATGTGAGAGTGATGCTGCTGCCTTATATCGACGTTCTTTCTTGGTGATATTATTCATTCTTTATGTTGAACACATTCTCTCATCGCGTTCATCATTCCTCAGACAGCTAGCTCCCTTCGCCCTACGTATTCGGATTCGAATACGTTCACCAACGTGAAGCCAGAGGCGAACCTGGCTACACGCGACTATATTCTTCACTTCTGAGCTATGGAAAACAAAGAAGTCATGGTTCTTATACCAGCCTAAGGAAGTGACAGTGCTGTCACCAAGTAGATATCAAGACCGTGTTTCTTACTATAGCTAAACACTAGATGTTATGTTGAGGAAAGAATCCTAAAACGAGTTTTAGCTACTGAGGGTAAAAGCCAATACTTGCCCCCGACTCTCAAGCTTGCAGACAAGTACCTAGCAGCAAACATGCCTGTCCAGGCCGGCAACGTTTGATGTCCCGGTATCAAACAGGTATACAGACACGAACAGTAAGAACGAGACATCATTTCTCATGTAAAGAATAGAATTTCAGTTCAAATTTTCACTTGACGAGAGAAGAGTCCTGATCCGGCTATGAACATCATGAACGCGTCATATCGGAACGGGATTGTTTGAGCTAGTAGCATTCATATACAGCCATGGAAAGTGAAGTAGTTTGTGAAAGAGAGTGATGACAACACGCGTCCAGATCTCTTGACTATCTAGATCTGTATGAGAATTGCCCTGCACAGTCTCACAGCAAAAGATATTCAGTGCTAGCAAAGTTGAATAAGTCTCAAAAAAATTGTTGCGCCCAGAGCAAATGGCGAAATTACATCCTCAAATACCAAGCCCTCAATGAAAGGGGCCTTTGTCAATCAGAGGCAACAATACAATGCCAGCAACAAACAAAAAGAGATGAAGAATAGCCTTGGCTGTTGGG